GGTTTAAAAAGACCAGTTTCTGAGAGGAAGCTATAGGAACTAAGTTATGGACTGAAGTGTCAATAAAGCCCCTCATCGTTTTTATACTATATATAAGCACAGGTTTCTTACTTTTCAAGAAATAATAAGTGGGTTGCATAGGAATAAGTCAGAAGACACAATATAAACCAACTCTGGAAGGGAAAAGATAAAACTCAGAGAATGAGTTACAGAATTAAAAAGAAATATTTACAAACAAAACTCAAACTACTAGTTCAGGGCTCCAGTTAACTTCTGGGACTTTCAGATGCTGGATAAGAAACAACGGCTTCCACAATGGGGGTTTACCCAGAGCTATCACTACAAGCAGCTGGGTTAACAGGTTGAAACTTCATTTATATATAGGTCAGCCAGGTAACATCAAAACCCCCAGGGTATGACATGACTGGAGGGTCTGGAATGCTCAGAGCAAGGAAATCTATCTTCCAAAAGCTGGAGGAGGTTACACAGCTCAGAGGATGACATTCACTAATGAAGATAGTATCAAAAGAGTCAAAATCGTTACTGCGGCGTCAGAATGAACTCATAACTGACTCTCTAGTTTTCAAAGGCTGTAAACTGCACAGGAGGAGTTTGCCCATCTTTCTCACACAGAGCAGCTCGTGGATTCAGATCATCTGCCTGTGGACTGACAGTGCAACTCCTTACACACTGGGCCACCAGAGTGCTCTTACGAAGGCGATAAAGGCAGGCAGAATATTACTCAGGAGCCCTGTTGGTACAGTGGTTACGTTCTGGGCTGCTAACTAAAAGGCTGATGGTTCAAATCCACCAGTCCCCTCCCCCCGATGGGATAAAGGTGAGACAGTCTGTTTTGTATGGATTTACAGCCTTGGAAACTATGGATCAGCCCTACAACCGACTCCACAACAGTGGATGGAATGCGACTAACTCATTTAATAGTTACTAGCAGAGCAGCGTGAATCTTTTAGAAATCCCATCCTATAAAGGGAAACAGGCTGTGTGGAACAAATAACGGGATCTTGCTCTTCCTCTGTGTGTATATGTATATGCATGTGTGTCTAGTATTAAATTCTAACGGGATCAAAATTATTTTTCTCTTTCCAGGAAATAAAGTGGTAATAATATCAAGTATAATGTGGTAATACTGTACTAGCCAAAAAGGAAATAAGGGAGTGCATTATGAAGCACTCAATAAAAATGATATCGTTTTATCAGAGGTGAACACAAACCAAGCTAGTGCATTGTCGACTGTGTACACAAACCAATGCTAGGGACTGTCAACTGTGTACACGAACCAATGCTAGGGACTGTCGACTGTGTACACGAACCAATGCTAGGGACTGTCGACTGTGTACACGAACCAATGCTAGGGACT